TGCCACGTAGAATTAAGGCAGTTCTGAAGGCGAAAGTGGGTCAAACACCGTATTAGTATGGTGTTCCTAATAATCCTTTAGGTGAGTGTATTTTGATAGGTTAAATCATTTTTAACCATTTTGCCTTGACTTGGTCGCCCTTAGCAACTACATTGCTTAATTCAGCTAATGTGATATTGGCTCCCCAACTATTTTGAAAGTTCCCATATTCAACATACACTTCGGATCACCTCTTGACTTTTCAACTTCTCTAAGCATATTTTAAAATGCTTTTCAATTTCTTTAAATAACCACATCTTTCGAATAACTTCTGTCTCAAGACCTGGAATGTTATCTTATGATTGATCTTGTCCTTCTGTTGACCTTGCTTTCCCTTTCCACACTCTATTTAGCAGACTTTGGCAGACTAACAATTAATTTTTTTTGTCATTCCTGCATGAGCACTCCTGTATGTTTTATGAACATTATATTTATGATATTTTCTTATGATCTGGTAAATCAGTCAACCTCACAATATGTGCATGTATATTAGTTCACTCATGAATAACAAGGTTATAGAACTCTCTGGAATTCCTTCAGAATTTTCTTCCACATAGTGTAGATTTGAAATAGGTTTCAATATTTATCCTATCATCTAATGAGTATATAGGGAGTATTATTTTTCATTTAGAACCTTTTAAAATATGTATGCTCTTACCATAGCCCACTGACATAGATTTACTACAACAGTTGGAATGTGGCTGTGAAGATTAGTAAAATTTATGATTCATCTTTGATAATGACATCTAATTATATTTGCTATAGTAGACAGAATAGTCTGGAAAGCATGGGACATGTAGTCCATAATAGGGCACACAATCATTAATTTTAATAACCACTTATAAAGATCATTATAAGCTACAAGGTAAGATTACACCAAATGGAATGGAAGTATATAATACTCACAAACCCATACATTAACATTCAATCATAATTGAGGAATGTCATTTAATAATGGTATTACTACAAAACAGATAGATAGAGTTAAAGAAAAACAGAAAACAATGTTAGTTAATAGCACAGCTAAATAGCATATACCCTGTATGATGTAATTTTGTTGCTAAGGGTATCTGAGCCATAAATTGTCCTTATTCCAGGTATTTTTTGTTTTCACGTACATAGAGTACGGAGTGCTGAAATGTATTCATCTGCAACCATGTGACCCTGTTGATGCACGAAAATGAAACCCACCTGTTTGACTAACCGTTCGACCTTCACATGATAAGATAGAACTAATTAGACGCAAAGCTAAACACAGTCGCAAAAACTCGAGATAGAATGTTCTATCAAGTCTAGACAAAAGTATCTCAAGGTTGTGCAGCTGTACCGTAAATCGCAAAAGCCCTATAATTGCCCTGAGAAAGTGATAATCTGTGCTCACTGCCACAGCATTTCTCCACTTTCCAATCAAGTGGAAGGATTCTTTCTTTTATTAAGTTACTTTCACCTAACTAAAGAAAACAATCTTATATACATAAAATATGTATTCTTCATTCCTATTGACGAATTGCGGAACATCCTTTAAGTTCACTTGTGAAGAGTGGGTGGATATACAAGTACTGCTAGACAGTACCGATTAGATAACATTTTGTTGGGAAGCATATGCACACACGGCCTTAAAAATGAGGTGAGGACTGTTGGAGTCAGATCTCCGCCGGAGTCCGTTGATGAGAAGAGATTCACTGCACAGTCGAGGAGTAGCTGCAAGTCACCAGTTTATTCTGATTAATCAGGGAGCAACGATCTGACATACATTCAGCATGTACAGGAAGATGCTCGAACCATAGGTGTCGGCTCTAGGTCTTTATAGGCCTTTTGGGGTGTGGCCCCCCTTCTTCTGTACTTTTCCACCTACGTGACTACCACAGATTTTGACTTTTGCTCTAGTTAGTGTGTGTGCCTGTCCCCAGAAAAGAGTAAAAATAAGTGTCAGCTACCTGATCGGTTCCTGTTCTCTTACTGTCGGGAACAAGGCCCTCCTAACCTGCTCGGTTCCTGTTCTTTTACTGTCGGGAAGAATTATTAGTTGCATTCTTAAATGATTAACCCCTCAATCTATTTAGGACGAGATCATCTTGACCTGTTTTCTTTTCTACCAGTTCCCGTTTTTAGTGTCTGCATTATATTAGACACTGTGTTATTAAACATTAGTCAGTTAATATTTGGATTATAGTGAAACTACCCCTTCATTATTGTCTAATGCACCCCTCAGGACCGAAAGTAGGAAAACATACAAAAAAAATTACTAAAAGACTGTCTGGGTGAGATTCCATATTAACGGTGACTTTAAAAGAGTTTACAGAAAACATGGGCGGGTTGTGAAATAATAAAAAATAAGCACATGTATATTACTAAAGGTTGTGCATCGCATGGAAATTTATACATAATAAATATATTTGCATGTATATAGTGAGATCTAGCCTGAGCACAAGTTCCAGGTTGATCCTGTAGGGAGTATTTCATGAATGGCACCTTCATTGTCACTCGCGCACACCCCCGCAAACGCCCGCAGCCCGGCCCGACCGAGAAAAGGCATTCCGCCTCATTCCCGTCATTCTTCTGTTTATATTGTTACTGAGTCAAAAATGGCGGACACCAGTAACCCCAGTGGCCAGAATCTTGGATTCACAGAGAAATTAAAAACGTGGCTTTCCTGGTCATGGACCTACATCTGGGCTCTTTGGTTCGCGATGGTTTTAGTTCTCATCTACGTGCTGCGGAGTCCACTGAAGCTCCAGGAAACGCTGTCAACAGGTAACCGTGTCGGGGGAACTACTGAGCCGACAGGCTTAGGCGACGGGGCGCTAGGAAGTTAACACGATCCGGCTAGCTAGTTAGCTATCACTGACACTGACATTCTAGCTGGTACACCTAATGCCCTTGGCACTGCAGCATTTTCAAAAGAAATCCTACATTCCAAAATGGATATTAAATGGCTACTGACTAAGATTGTTTTTAATAGTCAGCTACCAATATGTAGCTGGCAATATACGTTAAGATAATTATTGCCAGTTACATTAAGTAGTTATTTTTCATTATATTTAGAGGTGTTGTACTTTTTAATATTAATAATAGGTTTTCTCCGCATAAGCATACTTAGCTTTTCGATTATTTTCGGTTAATAGGTCGTATTTGCACAGTTTGCCCTGGGAGCGGATTATGACATCCGGAGTGTAACACTGTGGGATTGTTCGGCGCGTGCAGCCGCTGTGAAGCTGCGCCCGTGCGCAGGCGGCCCGCGTTACGCAAATGGCGTGGAGATGTCAGTCACGTGACGATGAGAAATAAGTCCTCTGCTGTGCAGAGGCTAAATTTTACTATAATTTCTGTCCAGTGTATGATTTTAGCAATTGCATCAATTCTGACTACGGGACAGAAAAAGAAATCGGGATTGTATTAACTTTATTTATTTGTTTGTTTATGGTTGACATATACGTAATGCAAGTTAATATGCACATGGAATGTTTCTTTTCATGCTGTGCACACGCGCATCTTGACTTCGTACAAATGAATCCAGCCAGGCTAAATAATTAAATACTCAGCAGGATTCCTCCCGCCAGTGTGGTCTGGAACTGCCACTGTTCTATCGACCAATGCTACCTATCGAGTTGTGCTATCGAGCCTTTCTGCGCATGTGCAGTTCCACCGTTTTGGGATTAAGGTTAGGTTTTAGGGGTTAGGGTTAGGTTTTAGGATTAGGGCTAGGGCTATCGATTAGCGCTACGCTAGCCTAACTTGACAAAGTAGCTCAACTCGTCAGAACACTACCTCTTATGCAGTGGGAGTCGGACAGGGAATAAAGACATTAGTATTTACACCCCCACCCCCCCCTTTTTTAAAAAGAAAAAAAAAAACACCTTGATGCACAAATTAAGTAAAATATGCAAATAAGGGACCGTAAAATTGCGAAATTCATGACACGATTAAACGGCTAAATCGTCTAGGATATTCAAATGAATATACTGAAACAGCATTCATGGTTTTGTAGACATCTATTTATAGCCTTGGTTACTTGTATATCTCGGGAATAATTAAGGAATTAATACAAGTTGCGAAGTGGAAATTATTGCCAGGATATGCATGTAGGAGTACGTTTACTGGCCTTACGAAAGCCTGTTTGATAACAGCATGTTTGTTTTTTGGTGCTAAATGTCGGGTGACCAGGCCTTATATGTAAGGTGAAGGTTTCTTTTCTCTTCTCTTTTTTAAAACAATTTTTTATCTTCAGACCATTAGTCATGGTTTTAAACCACTTGTACATTGAGTTATTTGTAGATTAAATACTTAAAGATGACCATGCCATCTGACATAGAAGATTCATATTTTGTGAAATTTTGCATGCTGCTACACTTTCTGAGGTTCTTAAACTTACCTTACCTTAAAGTAAAACTTTATTTCACCAATCTACAAAACAACTTATTTAACTAGCCTTCTAAAAATGTTATTTTTTCACAGTCTGATGGTCACAACTTAATGCTTAACACTGAAGGATAATGAGTTTTGTAGATCTGACTGTAAATTGTAATTATGTGAGAAATTATTTCCTTTTTTAAAGCTTCTGTCTTCCTGAACACACTGACGCCTAAATTTTATGTGGCACTCACTGGAACCTCATCGCTAATTTCTGGCCTCATTTTGGTGAGATATTTTGTATTTTGATATCTTTTGGAAAGTGTGTGTGTGTTTTCAAAATCTGTATGTTTACTGTATGCAATTTTGTTTGGTTGGTTATTTTAAGATGCTTGGAATTATGCTTTTAAATTTTTCTTTCATTTGTTATCTGAACAGAAGTTTTGATCACAGCAACTCTCTGCGTTCTTTCCTATTGTCAGATATTTGAATGGTGGTACTTCCAAAAGTATGGAACCTCATTTATTGAGCAGGTCTCTGTCAGCCACTTGCGCCCTCTGCTGGGTGGAATGGAAAATAGCAGCTCGGCAGGCTTGTTCTCAGCGAATGGAGATGCGGAATCTAGACAGAGTGTTTCAGGTACTTTTTTGTGTAGAGTAGTTATTATATGCAGTATAGATTAGTTTTTTTTATTACTTTCATTTCCTATAGTAATAAATTGTGGCTCATACAGAAGATAGAATTCCATAAGTACATTTTTTATTTTCAATTAATATTCCAGTAGTAATGGTATGTTTTGATTTGGAATTCTAATGATGCACTTAGTAAAAAAAATGTTTTGGTGATCTTTTTCAGAATGCAAAGTCTGGAGGAACCCGTTAAACTTATTCAGAGGATCAGAGTACAGCAGGTATGAAGAAAAAAAATCTTTTCATGTTCATGGTCTAATTAAGGGGTTATGCAGTGTTTGAGAACACATTATAATCTGTAAGTTTAATATATACATGTGGTTGAAGAGAGGTAAGGAGCGTCCGCTGATTACAGTGTGTTTCTGTACCCACCACACGACAAAGCACCTCAGGGATGAGAACCTGAGTGCAGCCTTGTGTTAGGCGATACCTCAGCACCACACTAGTCCGAATGGGACAGTGTGAGGTTTTTCTAGTGGCTGGGGTGTTAATCCTGCCACAACCCCCCAAAATTTTCCTGTAAGTTGGAGGACCTGCTTGCAGGGCTGGATGTAGATTAATGTCACACCCAGGACAAAGCAGTTGTAGGTTAAGGGCCTTGTTCAAGGGCCCAACAGAGTAGGATTGCTCCTGGCATTCACGGGATTCAAACCAGCAACCTTCATATTGCTGCACAGATCTCTAGCCTCAGAGCCAGCACTCCTGTGCTTGAAGGAAATGGCTAAATACATTAATTAATAGGCACTCCATTTATATTTTATTTTATATAATGAAAATTTAATTAGAAATTTTAATTAGGATGTATTAGCGCAGTTCCTTTGGGTAATTTGGTATACTTATATAGTTATCCAGTTTAGGTGGATGTGTAGATCGTTTTAAAATGTGTATGAGTTAGGGCTGTATGATACTGAAAGAAATTCACATCACAATATTTGACATTTTTGTGAAAAATACTGAGATATCTATAAAACAAAAAAAAACAATCACCCAAAATAAAATAAAGCCAAATAGAACCTGTTATTAGTACCAACAGAGTGAGCCATAAGTTGGTGGTGTTGCTTAGAGGTGTGCCGACAGGCACAAAGCCTTGCAGATAATTCACTTGCTTTTGCTCAGTAGCTCTCTATGGAACCCATCGCGTGGACCTATTGTTAGTCTCCCCAGGCATGTGCCTTGTCCTTCCTGATGCAATCTTCAGACCCACTGTGACCCTCGATTGATTTATTGGGTATGGAAAATGAATGTATGGAAATCAGGCAGATCACCACATTATTCATGGTTATAGTCTTCATCATATTTACTGTGGGTTCTCTTGGGTACCGTTGACAGGAAGTCATTTTGCTGATGACTCAGAAATGGGTGCAGCTTAAGCCAGGGCTGCAAATGTCAACAGGAAATGTTTGCGGCAGCAATCCTTAAGAATGGTATTAATAAAAGCATCGTCTACTGTTATTGTGCTCCGTCCACACTGTCACCCGGTGGTGTTTCAGCTGGATACTTTGTACTGTCCCTCCTCAAGGCAGACATCCAGGTGTTGAGGCAGCATCTTGCTTTTGTGTTGTTTGAAGGTATACCTGGGTCACTGGGAAGGAACCACTGACATACTATGACATGAACCTGTCCGCACAAGACCATCAAACATTCTTCACCTGTGACACACAGCAGCTTAAACCTGAGGATGTAGGTTTGTATATCTTTGTATGCTTTTCTGTGCATTCTTATTGAATATTCTTCATTTTTTCTGCATATTATATTATTTTTTCATTTGTTCTTTAAGGTCTGCTTTCCACAGTTAGAGGAACCACGGCAAGTGTATTTTTTTGTAATCATTTGTCCAATCATATGCTCCCCTGTTTACTTCTGGGACAAGCTGCTGCATTGCCATTGGTGAAATTGTGTCCCAGATGTGTCGATGATTTTTGGTACGTTTTCTTTGCAGCATGTTTTACAAAGGTCATATGCCTCAGGATTCATGATCTTCAGCATCTTGTACTGCTGAGGCTTCAGTCACCAGTCAACAAGGCAGACCTGAGTAGGCTCTTGGTGTCACATTCTCAGGACTTTCTGGAGTGATGTCCAGAATGCTCCATCCAGACAGATCTGAAATGCTCTTTATTAGACAGTTTTTCCACTCCCTTTCTGTTGATATGTCACCACCTTTCCGCAGTCAGACTTTGCCCTGGAGTATGTTTTCAGGGGCCGCCAGACAGCCTGCTGGGCACCTGCTATGTTCTGTCCGTCTGGTCCCACAGCAGATTCTCTTCCCGCCTTCAGGCGATGACCATCCCTCTTTGGAATTACCACTGCGAGTACGTGAACTCTGGAATGCATGAAAACTAAATGGTCCTCATATGTTGCAGTTCCTCCCAGCTTTTTCTGCTTCCCTCTTGGGGAGTGCTCCATCATACCTGTCTTGTTTCTCTTGATGGTCAGTTGTTACCTCGATCTACGTATTTATACATAATCCATATGCATCAGTTTCTCTTTTAACCTTTGACTGTTTTGGTTCTCAAATAAGCCAGTAGTAGTGATCACATCCTCATCTTCAATGCTTCAGCCTGGATTCCCTTAAAACCAAAAGCCTTTGACCTGATCTTGAGCAACTTGAGCCATGTGCCCCCCCCCAAAAAAAAAAAACACTTACAGCCCCCAGTTTTTACTGAAAACCCTCCCTGCTGTTAATCCCTGTGCCAGTGACTCTGCTAGGCCCGCACCTTTGCTGTGCACTGAAGTGTTTCCTTTTTGAAATCATCACAAGACCTTAACATCTTACATTTTTTTGTTCCTGTTACTGTAATCTGACATTGCCAGGATAGAATCGTATCACTGGGTTTTTTAACACATATAATAAAGGAAAAAGTGCTGTTCAATTTTGCTTGGTTTGCACTTCTGGTGTGCCTCGGTATAAGTGCTTCTGGCAGAGGAGGAGGGCTTTCCACTGAAGTACTCACCAGATCATTCTTTTCTGAATCTGTGTTCTTATGCTATGATTGTCAGCTGTAGAGTGTGGCAAATTATGGGACCTGATCTGACTTCAAGGAAACCATGACGCCATACTCATTCTTCTTTTTATTCTTGAACTGTAAGAGTAACTACACTACTGGCAAATTTGTGCCCATGAAATCGGTTTGTGCCACATCTTTCCCTTCTTCTCTACAATTTCTTCTATTCCTTATTTCCCAACACAACAAACTACGGGGTGGTTTCTACGTCATGTTAACTTGGAATTCCATTCTCTTAAAATACAGTCATGATGGACTTTGGCTACCAAAGACTGACAGTTTGTGCTCATTGGTCTCTGGACCAATGGACTATTCATAATTGTATTGCATTGCTGACCTGGGCTCAGGCACAGTGTACACCTATAACATTATATGCTATACCTACTATACCTTTGAGGGTGTCACACAACCAGGCTTCACTAATGAACAGTCACTTTGTAACTGGATGTCGAAAAGTCCATATGATTTCCAAAGTGAACTAAGCTGTGGGAATGAAATCCATGAAATTCCTCCTATTTCCATATTTATCTGAAAGCAGTCATTATCACTAAAGACAAATGTTAGGTAATCCATTGGTAAAGATCTCAGCTGACATCCAAATCAGTGGCAAGAGCTCACAAGCCAGGGCTGCACAAACTAATAAAAAGGGAAGCAGCCTGGACTGAACACTGTAATTACCAGGCTGCCGTCCAAGGCCTTAACTTGTCAGGGTGGGGTGTGATATCAGCTTGACCGTTATCCCCCCCCCCCCCCCCGAGACTTGCGGCCTCCAGCTTTCTTCTTGAAAACTTGCCCACTCCCCCCAGCTCTGCAGTTCATCTCCGTAACCAATGAATCTGACAGGCCCCCACCTTTGATCCTTTGATGTGGACACCAACACATTGAAGATGCACAAGTGAGGGAAGCTGAGCCTCACGGCCTCGGGGAGGAGATACCACATGCAGCGTAAGCTACACATACCTGCTGTTGGTAGTGTGGCAAGTGAACAAGAACAGCCACATCGTACATCTGGCAATTGGTCAATATTCCCCCTTCTGTTTGACCAGTTATGCTCCAGTCCAGTCTATGAGGGCCGACAGCTGTTCACTTTTTACTGTTCACTTAGTGACTCTTTTGTAGTTGAAACACCAGGTGAGATGACATACCTGTCCAAATATCAACTCCAGTTACATCACAGAACACAAAAGACTTCTCATTCCTCCTGTCCTGCAGTGATGCAGAAAGCCTGGAGAGAGCGAAACCCCCAGGCCCGGATCAAGGCTGCGTACCAGGCCATTGAGCTGAATAAGGAGTGAGTCGCCCATCCCTCCCTCATTGCTATTAGGTTAGCGTTGTGTTGCGTTCAGTCATATGACGGTTTTTTACAACTCGTGTGACAAATTACCTCAAGGTAGCCGGAAATTCAGTATCTGCGTATCTGTTACTATACCACTTCACTGCCTTCAATTACCAACTACCATCTAACTTCACTTACATTGGGAGAAGGTCAGCACATTTTTTCAGTTGACTTTTTGTAATCTTTACATCATGCATTTAGATTTTTTAAAAATTTAAATGCATTATTGTGATTTATTTTAATTAAAATTTAGAATGTTATTTGATATATTAATCAAAAAGTAAGTTAATATTTAGCAATTGGTTCTTTCTGTTATCCCAGTGCGACATTGTCAGGATAGAGTGGTATCATCAGATTTCATAACAGAAATAATAGAGGTTCTGCTGCTGGGTTCTGCGTGGTCTGTTCTCCAGGTGCGCCTCGGCATACGTGCTGCTGGCGGAGGAGGAGGCCACCACGATTACGGAGGCCGAGCGACTCCTCAAGCAGGCCCTCAGGAGCGGTGAGGAGGGGCGGGTGGGGCCTCCGGCTGGCTAAAAATAAAACCTCTGACTGCTGATTTTGTCGGGATTTTAACTGAAGAACTTGCTGGAACATTCTTTTCTGCATCTGGACTCTTATTATGTGATTGTCAGCAGTAGCTTTTGGTTCATTTTGGGACCTGATGTCATATGATTCATACTTCGTATAAATAGCTTATTTAAGTAATTATTTATTACAAATGCACTGTATATCGCTTACAGTGCGGCCAGGTCAATATATGTTTGTTCAAGCGAGCACTTTCACTGTGTTAATGCACCTTGCAGATGCGCACTGTAAAACCCTGAAGGATGGCCTTTTATCCCAAGATTAGGAGCAGGCTTATTTTTAATGGGCCTTTTCCCGCAGCTGGAAAAGACACCAACGTGCTGGCCTACATCAAGCGCAGGCTGGCGATGTGCGCACGCAAACTGGGCAGAGTCAAAGACGCCGTGAAGATGATACGAGAAGTGAGTCGGCGGCACGCGGCTCTTAAAGGCCGACCGAACGTCAGCTGAAACCAGGGTGGCTGCTAATCTGATAGCTAACATGTGTGCGAGACGGGAGAAATGGGAGTATTTGCTGGAATTACTGCGGTGGCTTGCAGTTCACGTAAGGTGCCTTTCTTTAAAGTAGGGCAGCAGTAAGCAGTACCCAGTGTCGATCTATAAACAAAAGTTGAATTTTAGGGACTCAACAAAGCATTTGAATATTGGGAAACAACGTCTAGCTCTTGCTTCATACTGCATTGTCCCCTTTCTGACAGTTAATGAAAGAGTTTCCTCTCCTGGGAATGTTAAATATCCATGAAAATTTACTAGAAGCACTCCTGGAGATGCAAGCCTATGCAGATGTGCAAGCTGTCCTTGCAAAATATGATGGTAAGATGGGCCTTGGGGATTATAATCTTATACAGCTTCTCGGGCCAAGAGAGAGATGGGCAGAATTTGATCTGTTTTGATCTGAAGTATAATTTAGTTAAACAGAAATAGGATTTACGAGTCACTTAATATCGTTACACAGTGAATATTATAACTTCATTAAGATTCAAATGATTCTGAGCTCACTTTCATTTTTGTTTAACAGTGATACTGCAGAGTGTTTTTGTGTTATATTCATAAAGGTGTCACTAGTCAAGGCTGCCAAGGACATCCCTGTCACCTGAAATCTTCCCTTAAGTTTATCTGAATTATTCTTCACAGAATACACTGATTATGTTTCCTCTGTGTTGCGGATTCCAGACATCAGCTTGCCAAAGTCAGCAACTATATGCTACACATCAGCGCTGCTCAAAGCGCGAGCCGTCTCAGACAAGTACGTACCGAATAACCTGCTAAAAGAGTTATTTCGGAAGCCTTGTAGAGGGTAACCAGACCAATTCCATGCTGTTTTTTTTTATTTGACCTGTTTTTTGTAAGGTTATTACTGTTCAAATCTGAGTTAATGCTATATAGCTCACAACATGTAGGCATTTGCAGGTTTGTTCACCAGATCCAAAGCGTGGATCAAAACTCGAGGAGGTATACCTCACCTGTGACCGGCGTCTGCCCCCCCCCCCCTGTAGATTCTCCCCAGAGGCAGCGTCACGGAGGGGCCTCAGCACAGCAGAGATGAATGCAGTGGAGGCTATCCACAGGGCCGTGGAATTCAACCCGCACGTGCCAAAGGTCAGAACCTATGGACATCAAGACTGTATCGCTGTCTCCAAAACAAACCACAGAGAGGAGCCGCGACCTATCTTGATTTTTTTTTTGTCTATTAAACATGACATTGATACCATTTCCTTCTTCTAAAAGCACTGAAGTGAAATAACGTATCTACACACTCATCAGGGAACTTGTATTAGAACCTTATAATATGGGTACATAAGAGGGGAAAGAACATGCAGAACATTTCTAGAGGATGAACGTATCTGATAGAGAGTGGGCTGTGTGTGAATAACCCTATTAGCATGTTTCACTTCAGGTGACCAGCAGATGTCACCCTTGGTTCGGCATATGAACAAAGGTCATTATGACGTGCTAGAAGTGATTGAGTGATCCCAAGTATAATTATCCAGCATTTCTCTACTGAATTGTAACTGCCTGTGTGCCACTGACAGTGGATCACGTTTCACACGTTATTATGCATTTCTGCTTTTAATTTTCACCCCTTTTAGTTTCACTGCACAATAGCATCACCAATGAAGTGTCAAATAGCTAGTATATAAATTAATTTAATTATTCAAATTTATTAATTGAAGTGTGTGTTTTTTGATCGAAATAGCCATTAGCAAATGACCACCAGGCCTCCCAGATCACAGATGCCATGCTTCGCGTCTGTGAGGTCAACCCATTAGCTATGGGCTTCAAATCATTCGGTAAACAGAGTGCCAGTGCTCTTGGTGATGAATGACCTGCACCCAGTGAAGCAGGGGATACAGCTTCATAGTGAAGCAGAGGTGATGAGGCAGCTAGCACGTCCACCTTCGCTCTAACATCCTGGAACTAATTTAGCTGGAGATGCTGCCGGCCCGTAGAAAATTGTTAAACTGGCAAATGCAGCTGTATCATGCCTTGCCGGGGGCCGCCTCTCCCAGCAGCCGAACTCACGGCCTCTGCTTGTGTAACGTTTCTGTGAAAGTTCCCAGCCAGCTGGGGCTGCGCATCCGCAGAATCCATACCTTGGCGCGATCTCGTTGCCAAAGGTGTGCCGGCGGTGTCCAACCTTAAGGTCGTGCGGGATGGCGAGTCCGCTGGAGAGGCCATCCGACATCAGGAAGCCCCCTGTGAGCTGCGTGGACGTCATTTGGGGAGTCTGGGAGAGGGGATGGGATCATGGGCGGTGGGGATGACGTCCATTCGGCGAAACTGGTGGGGAACAGAGGCGGTTCTCAGCTTGAATCCGGCAGAGCTGCTTTCGACCTCGCTGTATAACATCTGTTTCATGGTGCGTTTTGGAGTAGCTTGAGCCTGACCCAGGCCAGGTTCATCGCAGCCTGTGCTGTTCCCAGATTTGATGGTGCTTGAGATGTTAGGCCTTTCCAGATCCTCTTTCTTGCCAGTAGATCGGTGGGGTCAGAGGCCCATTGAACATGTTCTCCTGGTTCTGGTCTTAAAGTGGGCCCAAAAAGTACTTCTCACAAGGATTAGACTTGGAAGTCTGGGAGGTAGTCTCCAGAGGTCGAAGAACAAACTGTAACCTGACAGCATGCTGGATATCCACTTACGTTAACTTTCATGTGGTTTGGAGAGCTGGCAATTCCCCATTACAAACCCTTTCAACTGCAGTCAACTTACCGCCATCATGGGTGAAGGACGGTGTCTGAAACTTTGCTACAACCAAAAATAATGACAATAATAACAATGCTGACATCTAACCCATTTGCCTCATCTATATTTTTCCACTTGTTTGAAATACTATGTTGTCTTTCTTCTTATTTAACTACTAAAACAGGGCTTTATCACCAGAAAGGTTATATTTGTTTGAAAACAAGCCTGTAGGTTCAGAAGCTGTTTCACACTGCTAAAGATTATTTGTGTCAAGTTATTTTATTAATGGGTTTTTGACATTGGTTTGCCAGAAACAGGGGCAATCAGAACTTTATAGGTACTTTTATTAAATTGTGGTGAAATCCCCTGTAATTCCTATTGCTCACTGGGAAATATCAACCATGCAAACAGGATGAGGTCTCTGACTTGGAGAACTATAATTCCTACTGGTTGGCACTAATGAAACCCAACCCTGAGCCCCAGGGAAATTGCTTTATCTGCTGCTAGGACAGATAAGTCAGGCAGCATGGTAGTTTTACGTAGTTTCCTTGACTCAGACGAGAGACAAGGTGCCGTCTTTGTTTGGTCTGAGGGCTATTGGCCAAATCCACAGTGACACATCTGATCCCTTAGAGTCATCCGGACCATTTCAATAGCAACAACTGGCCATGGATAGTAAGGTTTCTTGTAGATCGTCTTTTTTGCCTATACATTTAAACAAACATTGCAGCTTTCAGTTGAAGCCAAATAGCTAAAGTTTACATCGTGCGCATCAAACAGCTTCTAGGACTTGAGCGACTATGGCCGTCTCTGTTTGAGGAAATGTAAAAAGTGGGGGTGTGGATCAGTGGATCCATTAGGCCAGAAACGTCAGGCACACATCCCTGTCACACAAAGCCGGATGGAATGTTCTTCTCTGACGAGTATCCGTGTCCTGACGGGTGCTTAAGGAATGATGTGGAAGCTGAAGGTGTTCTTGGGCACGGAGCAGCTGTTGAGGTTGGCTGTTGTGGTTGTCAGAAGATAGCCCCCCCCCCCCCCCCTCCTTCAGCCCCCCCCACATCACACCACATCCAAGACGGATTGTGAGCAGGAGACAGATTTACGGCAGCCAGATATTCCCCCTGGGCTAACATCATACCCGGGTCCCAAAGGATTCTCTACACCAGTCAGGACCTTCCACACGCAGGGATCCAGCTGCTCTGTGGGAACCGGTCCAGGCTCTGCCGCACCCTCCAAAGCCCCCCACTCACTTCTTCCCGTCCAGCCAGATAAACCTCTGGCAGGGGCGGAGTAATTGCTGGAAGAAGCCGGGCCTGTCTGCTTGACTGATCTGGTGCCAGCAGGCCCCTGTGACGGCCCTGTTTCACTCTGGCCCAGGCGAACTTGTGTTTAGAGACAGATATGCCTCCCCTTGGGTTCCTTGGCCTCTCATGGTATCTCAGATGGATTGACATGCTTGACTTTGCTGGCTGGGTGGCTGGGGGGGGGGGGGGGGCTGGTGGCCTGGATCTGACTTCTCATGGTAAAGTCTTCTGTGTCCATAATCTGGCTCGCCAACTTGAAATGCTTAAGTGAAACGTATCTAGCTGTGCGTTTGAATTGGGATGTATGAGTGTAAGCTTTGCGGTTAGCTTCTGCTAATCTACATGGACTCTTCTGAAGGCTGGCGCTGACTAACACAGCAAGGCGCATCATGTGCCCATGTGCCCTAATTGCTATGTTTACTTCCAGACCACCAGTGAGACAACAATATGACTTATTGAGGCCTGTTAGCCAGCTCCTATTCAAATATATCTTAGTATTTATTTTCTTTTCTGTCATGGCTTCCTCTGAGGACTTTGATGTAAATTTTTTGTCGCCTCCTTAGTTGATTACAGGTGTATGTATGTGTGTATATCACAAGCTCTAATGGAAGATAAAGGGCCGATCTTCCCCTTACAAAAGGCTGTGCTTAATTTGGAACGGTTCGTTTCCAGTCCAAGCTTCGCACACTGGGACTGGCAGGCTCATCTTCCCACGACTTTATGTAGCCCGATAACCGGCTCTGCGGTGATGCCTGGCTGCTCGGTGAAGCCGCCCAGACACCTGCGTGAGCACGCTAGCGGCCGCTCCAAGCCCTCTCCACCGGCGCATGCCTTCCATTGTGCTGCACACTGGAGATTAAAACCAGACCGCGCCTCATGGCCTCTCTTTAGGCACACTAGTGTGTCTGGGATAAAATGGGGAACGTGGCTGAAATGCGATCTGGCCATCAAAGGGCCAGCACAGAAGGGCAAGAAATGAGGTGTGACTTTCTGTCATCGCCAGCATTGCTCCCCTTTGCTGGTACGTGCCACTCAAACACCCCCCCCACCCTCGTCCTCTGCTGGGCCCAAATATTTCCGCATGCTTATGGATGCACACAAATATACATGCAGGGAAAGGTGAAAGCAGGCCGGCTTGCCTTGTACCTCTGATCTCACATGCTTCAGGAAACGGGAACTCTCATATTGCAGTGTGTGGGAATGTGTGGATGTGTTTCCATGTGTGATGAGAGCGGAGCGTGTGCTTTATATTTACCAGAGCTTTTTGAGTAGGAGAAGTAGCCACTTGCCCTGAAGAATTAGCAGGTATTAGAATTTGTGATTTTTTTTTCAGCATTTTTACCTTTTCTCTATAGAGTAGCAGCCAAATGTCTTAAACGTGAAATTCAGGAGACCTGTAAGTTGACAGCGCATGTGAGTGACGTTGCATAACCTTTTCACAAAATTCCAGTGTCCTAGGCCCTGCGGGATAGACTGGGAGATATGTAAGGGTGGGGGGGGGGGCAGGGTTTGATCGCTCCCTTGGCTTGAGTTCCCACTGTGGGGGTTGTGGGCCCCTCCGGGCAGCCCCTCTGCCTCACAGAGCAAGGCCCAGGAGGGATTAGGGGGGGATTAGGGGGGGATTAGGGAACTTGTAACCCTCCAAAAGTGTCATTCTGAGACTCACGGCAGTGTGAACTGTACTGCCTGGAAGGGGATTTGCTGAACGGTGTGGCGGGGGTGTAGCCCAGCCCCACCCCTTGATGAATCGTGGGGTTGTCCACTTCAGATAGGCGGCAGGCGGGCGGGCGGGTGGGTCGGGGGGGGGGGGGCTTCACATAGCTCTCCTTTTAGTTTACATTGTACAGAGTAAATCAGGAGTGGCTTGTTGTACGTCCCATTAGATCATCGTCGAGCACACACTCCACAGGGAACTTTCACCACTTCCAAGTTATGTGGGAACCAAGCTTGGTGTGGTACCTGAGCATAAGACCAGGGACTTACTCACAAGCTCAGGGTTTTATCTACCAGGCAAATGCTGCTCAGCCTCTCAGCATCATACTGTAGTCCAGCTAAATGACTTCTGCGCCTCACTCTCTCTATGCATTTCGGTTTGGTCAGGTGTTAAGAAAAATGGACAGTCGGGTGGCGCTTGATAATATTGTGCTGATTGATTGTGTAAATTGTCTCCAAGGACTCGTGTGAAGCCTGATGTTTACCTTCGGGAATTGTGTGTCGACATGTGGCCTGATCAGCGGCCTGTCTGTCAGTGTTTTTGGGCATCTTTGTTTATTTACGAAGTTTATGTCAAAAGATGACAGACTGTACTATAAATAAACATTATGCTATGCCTGACAATGATTCATCTTTCGGTTTAGTCAAGGCTTATTGTATCTGTGATTAATGTAGTACTGATATTAAATGTCAATAGATTAACTAAATGCTATTCAGAGAGAGGTGTAAAGTTCTGGTCCAGATAGTACAAATTCAGACCAAGGTTTTGTTTCAGCCAACCAGCCGAGTATAAAGAGTCATAGTCACAGAGTACTCAACTGGTTGGTTTAAACAGAACCTTGGTTTGGATCTGGACTTTCTGGACCTGAACTTTCCACCTCTGTCTTTAATGGATGACTTTTGTGAGTCCCCAGTACTGATACCATACTACATCTCTCAGTAATTTCTTTGAAAACTGAACACCTTTTTCACATTAATCTGTCTCACTCCTTGTTTAGCCGACTTGCTATCTCTTTGCAGTATTGCTTCAGATAGAGATGAACCATTTCTCCCTTTCTGTTCGCAGTACTTGTTAGAGATGAAGAGCCTAATCTTGCCCCCAGAGCATATCTTGAAGCGGGGGGACAGTGAGGCAGTGGCGTATGCCTTCTTCCACATGCAGCACTGGAAGAGAGTCGAAGGAGCCTTAAACCTTCTCCACTGCACTTGGGAGGGAAGTACGTGTGACCCGCATTCTTCCTTCCATCCCTCCCTCTCCTCTTCCTTGTGTAAAGCTTTCCGCATTATGCTCTATGTTCATCATATCCCTCATAAGCATTTTCCTGATGTTTTCATTGCGGTCCCATTGTACAGAGACGGTGATATTCTCTCTTGCATTTCTACAGTAGCTCTAAGTACTCCCCCTACCCACAAGTCTCTGTCATGCCATGCTCACTTAGATCACTATGTAGATCATTGATGCACACAGCCTGTTTCAAATGGGGGGGAAGAGAATTATTCATCCTTTAACTCTCCCCGTGGTTCTGCTGGATGTGAACTTCAGTAAGCTGTACTTGCTTTATTACAACTGACTGTTATTTAATAGGACTGATATTTGAAGACCCAGAGCTCTGCAGTGCAGACCGAGTCTTGCTAGGGCTGGTCCAGTCTCTAGCAGTTTTATCGATGCTCTGGAGTAGGCCATACATCATGTGTGACGTAACTGTAATAGAATGTAATGCTTCATGCTTGATTCAAAACTGATTGTGCTTAAAAGACTAGTGCAAATTTGGCATTTTGAGACTGACCCATTTTATCAGTCTGTACTGAGGTAGTTATTTAGTTAACTATTGATTCAGAACATGAAAAATGGAGTGCTGATTTGTTTTAGTTAACCGGCAATGCTGCGTTACAATGCTGTTTTTTTTTTTTTTAAACGAAGAATAGACTTTTTTCTGCTTATGAAGGCTTCTTTGAAGCTACTTTAGAATCTTTCTTTTGTTTTCTGAAAACTATGACAACACATCAGTTTTTACCTCCTTTAGAATACTCTTTATGATATATTGTCAGGAAATTGTTTTTGAAAACATTTGATTTGCAGATGTGTGAAGAAGAATCTTTCCCACTGTGGTATGACGGAGTTCTTGGCCTTTGTGTTTCTCCCAGCCTTTCGGATGATCCCCTATCCGCTGGAGAAGGGGCACCTGTTTTATCCCTACCCTGGCTGCACAGAGACAGCAGACCGGGAACTTCTGCCTTGTAAGTGGGTCCCTGCCCTTAAGCCAAGGATCCAACAGAGCCTTCTATCTTAGGAGAATGGGCTCTCTGAGGACGCCATCCTGCAATCCTGACAGGCTTTTCAAAATATGCTTTCTGTCATTTCTGAAAATGTATGGCATTCGTCTCCAGTACAGCCAGAGGAAGTTTTTCTCTACAAATGAGTTGAGCTGAGCATATATTGTGATATGTGGCAAGTCCTGAGGATGAATTAATTTGGAAAATCTCTTTGGTGTTTTCATACACTGTATATGTTTCCTTCTTTTTGGATTTACAGTTGCACTATTATTATTATTATTCTGAAATAATTGTAGTTGAGAAGTTGTGTGGTCTCTGAGTCAATCACACTCAACTAGATTCATGTTTCCAGGGTAGTTATATAGCATTGAATAGTGTTAAACAGGCACTTTATTGCAAAGCTGCAGTGCCTTTGTTTTATTCATGCTGTCTTCCATCATTTTACTGCGATGCTAACTGTTGTGCTCTAAAACTCCGCATCAAAGCCCTTCTCATGCTCATCTCTCCTTTACTTCTCTGCTTATTTGAAAGTCCGTACCTCTATCTCCCGATCTTCCCCCAGCGTTCCATGAGGTGTCAGTGTACCCAAAGAAGGAGTTACCCTTCTTCATCCTCTTCACGGCCGGACTGTGCTCCTTCACCGCCATGCTGGCCATGCTCACACACCAGTTCCCAGAGCTCATGGGTGTCTTCGCAAAAGCGGTAGGTGGCTGCAAACCTGATCTGAATAGCGGAAAAAATAACCGCACCTTCAGTCTTATCTGCTTTCATTACATCTTGTACCCTTTGTTTGTTAATGTCAGAGGCTCGGAGTGCAGAAGCAACAGGAAGTACCTGTTCAAGGACCAAATGTGGAATTAAAAAACATAATGGCAGCAGAGAGTCTGAATCTAGTCTCAGGAAATGAGCAAGGCTGGAGCAAATATACTGTAGTGTATGTTTGTTATGAATGTGAAATGAATGTGAATATAAGCTATACATCTCATAAGCCCCTTATGTCATGTAAGGCTTCATGACCTCATACAGCCTGTTCTGTTTCTACATCAGAGTTTGATGCTTTTATCTGAGATGTATACATTTAACATTTATATATTGCTTTTATAGGTAATTAGAGATCGACAGACTGTGTTAGGCAAAGAAGGAGTACTTCCTAGTGTGTCAGGGGGGGCCTTGATATCCGTAAATCGCCAAGTAGAATAGTAGCTGACAGAGTTAGGGACAGGTTTATAAAACAAAAGGTTGTTTCCCTGTTCTTGGCCATTCTAGAAGAATTTCAGTAGGTGCGTGTGAAGATTTTATCTTCCATACTGCCGCTGACAGGGTTATTTTGTGCTGTTACTGAGTGTGAGTTTTATATCTTTCTCCTGCACACAGCATGTTCTTGTAAGTACTGTAGGTATTTTTTGTATCTCCTGGTTTTTGATGGCATGGATCTGTGATGCCCTTATAAGGCAAGTAAATGAAAGTGGTGTGAAATTATTTTGGATGTGAAATAGTAGAAGTGTTAGTTTGATGAAGTATGGGGGGGCGGGGACAGAAGGCTGGCAGCACTTGGGCACCCCCAGGAAGGACACCCTACAGATGGCATATAGAGACTCCAGTCGTGTTTCCCCTTGGACGTGTGTGTAATGAATGACTCATGGGAGTTTTATTAACAGAAAAATGTTTGGAGAACAGAAAGAAAAATGATTGGTTCAGATTGTAGAGGAGCTGGGTCCAAGCAATGAGAGGAGGTGGGGCCAACCAATCAGATGTCTATGTCTTGGTCCCACCTCTTCTAGTTGCTTGCACCCGTTTTCTTTGCAATCTGATTGGTTATCTCTGATTTTTCGGTCTGCCCTGGGTAAGTAAAACTCCCGTAAGCTAAAGGGTGCCTTTTGTCAGCATCAGCAGGCTTGTGGATGTGTCTTGGTGACCTCCTGTTGCCACTGGATGGGGTAAGGTTATGCTTTTGTGCATTTGAGCCCCCCCCCCCCACCAGCTAGGCATGATCAATCTTACTGAGCATCATTCACTCAGTGCACTTTGATTTAAAAAGAAGGAGTTTCCTCATTGTCCCTGGGATGTGATGTCACTCTCTCGACTTGTGTGAATCAATTCCTGGGATGTAATGCTACTCTCTCGACTTGTGTGAATCAATCCCTGGGATGTGATGTTACTCTCTCGACTTGTGTGAATCGAAAGCATCTTGTTGTTTCCACAGCAACGGAATTCTAAAGGTACACCCTCTCCAGTGTCACATCAAAACAGTAGATACACTAGTAACAATAAACATAAAATAAATAAACAGACAAGCCATAAATAAACAAACAGACCAGCACGATAAAGAAGTCATACCCCATAGTTTCAAGATATTGCACGTTTCGCCTATTGCACTTAAAAATAGCAGCATTGAAATTAAGCAATGAGTCCAACTTAGTTGTAACCATGAGACTGTTTTGTAAACATGAAGGTGCACTGGATCAGCTTGTCAGCTTAGCAGCATTTAGCATGGTGATGGCTGTATGTTCCTACATGACAAATTTGGGCATGATCACCTGCATCAGGCTGAGTGTGTGTGGCTTTGGAGGCTCCTGGCGTCTGTGTTTCTGTTTGTGTATTCTTTTGTTTCGGAGGGGACCGATAACCCCCCATCCCCCCCGTCTGAGGAGACAGCTTGTGCTAATATCTATCAGTGGTGTTCCAGCCACATCTGCTGGGATCCCAGATCTGGGGAAAATCAGTGCAGACGAATCTGGAGTGCAATTCTATTCTCTCCCTGCACTACAACATCCCCCATACTGCTGCCTCATTAGTGTGTCCCAGCCGCTTACATATCTGCCCCCAGCCCCCATCAGCAGAACACACACTGACACAATAATGAATAATACTGTCAGGCTTCTACAATGCAAGTACACCACTTGTTTTGTCTATATAGGAATGTTGCTACCACTTACTACTTCTGCTTCCAGACAGTTCTAACTACCAAGTGATGATTAAAACCTAAAGTAGCCTATCTGAAATCATATTTGTATAAATTCTAAGTTCTGCAAACCACCTGGCACAAGATAATGTGTTAACTGAAAAACCTAAAGAAATGATAAAATATGCATACAAGGCCTTAGTCTTTGCTATGTTGTAAATCCAAATGCACTATTACTTTCTAAATTAGTTAGCATCAGACTAACTGGAAGAACATTTCTGGCTGAGATAAGTTGAACTGTGCGCCTTCGACACTCAGCCAAGGGAATGTCACTCTCTCCTTCCCTCTAGAGGGCATTGTGATAAAGGCTGAGGGGCTGCTTGACCGCGGGCCTGGCTCTGCTGAAGTGGAGGACCTCGAGCACTTCAGAGATGTCCACTTAGACGTTCTACCCCTCGCCCGTTCCTGCTAGGCCACTTTGTACTGTCTCTCTTGTGCTGCCAGTCTTCTGACAGTGCCTTCCTTCACTGGCTGCTTCACCCAGTCCTTTTTTTCCTTTTTATTAGTTTATCGGTTTGGGAGTGTTTTCCAAGTAGTGAATTTGGGCACAGGGCCCTGTCAGTGTCTGCTGTAAGAGCTCGTAAGTGGCAGTGCAGTACTCTACTGTGGCGTACACCATATTTCCATCAGTGTATACAAAGTCCAACGGTTGATCATCCTGAATAATAACTTGTAGTTCATGGTAAGTTGAAGGTGTTTTTGTTGTTCTGTGTTTCAGAACCATGTCAGTTCTGCCATACATAGAATCTTTTTTGTTCATTCCTATGTTTTTTCCATTATGAATATGTGTGAGTGTGCCCTGCAATGGGTTGGCGCCCCGTCCTGGGTTGTTCCCTGTCTTGTGCCCGTAGTCTCTGGGATAGGTTCCGAACCCCCGCGACCCTGAATAGCAGGGTCAGCAAATAGATGGATGAATGGATGGATGGATATATTTTTGTCACTCATGCTGTTTATATTATTTTGTCTTTTTTCCTTCTTTGACTGAGAAGCCACGCGGAGGAACACCGCAGGCTGCAACTATTGAACATTCCCTCTATTTTTAGAATCCACTAAATCACGGCAACTGACACTTAGAGCAATAAAAACAAGGTTTCTGTTTTTAGCTTTGCTTGTGCTGGTTCTGCCGCACGTGTCCATGTATTTATGACCTTGATGTTTTGTTTATCTGGCCTTTGGGGAATGCTGTTTGAAAACATGGCTCGGGTGTACAACGCAGAGGTGGGGGCATGTGCTGTACCCTGCCCATGGCGAAGACTCCCTCAGACGCAGCTTTTACGGCAAGACTGGCCAGGCCTGCTCTGTGTTGTAATGGTCTCATTAAGTCCCAGCTTTCAACAGGTTAACTCCCACAGCCTGAGGAAAAGCAGAGACCACCCCTAAAACAATTAAGATCCTGGGAATTGCCCTAAATTGTGGGGCACTAGGGCCCGCTTAATGGTTGCTGGAATGGTGGGTAGGACTTTACTCTGCTGTTCTGAGGAGCCATAGCCTGCTTATTTGAGGGAAGGAGGAATGGGGGAAAAGCTAGATGCTGTCTCCAGAGCTGCTTCTGGTAGTCTTTTCCATTATGGTGTGCAGGCCATGCTTATTTTAACCCATGTTGGTGTGTAAATGTTGAGAAAACAATACCACTGAAGTTACTAAAACAATAATCTTGCAATTGATCATGTGACTATGGTTGTGTGAAACATTGTTTTCCTCTGCCTAAAGTTGTATAATGGTTTGCCTAACATGTTGGAACTCAAGATCAGTGTTGTTTACATTAGGTTATAGTGTAGAGGTTGAGGAGCTGGACCTATAGAAGGAATGGTTCTAATGCAAATTCTGTAAGGAAGCACTATAGGAAAAATTCCCTTAAAAACAACCCACTTTTCTACAGCTCTACAACTGCCTGTTTCTGGAAGTTTGGAGTATCTAATGGTGGTAGTTGGATTAAAGTGTAGGAATATAATTTTCAGATTCTGTCAACATGCATTATCAGTGGCAGGTGGAGTAATTTGTCAAGGAGTTCATTTGTAACAAATGAACCTTTACCTTTGTTAACTTGAGATTATGGTTAAAGTTGTGACTGTGCTGTCATATTGTGGCATCTCAACTATTGTAATTATTTTTTTCTGGTTTCTAATCATCTCATAGACAATAAGTAGCTCCACAGTCATTCAGCTTCCAGCCATCCACTTCAGGATACACATGCTCAGTCGTTTTCTTACATGCTAATTAGCCAAAATGCATGTCTTGAAAGCCAGGGCATCCATTTTCTTTCCTTCTATAGTACGCATGCATGGTACCTATGCAGCTTGGGGAAAACATGCCCCACCCCACCCCCTGCCCACCCCCAGTATCAGCATCCTGCGGTAGGCATGTAGCAGGCAAGATGTAACCGAGCGCACTGTAATTCCCCAGCATCTACAGTGTTTACAAGCAGCATGTCTGTAATCTGGTCACAGTGAAAGGGATTATATGTGTTGATAAACAGTGTGAGCATTTGGACTGGGGTGATTTGATTGATTGATTGGTGCTGAAGGAATGACGACGGTGTGGGGAGAGGCTCGTACGGGCAGCACGATCTCCGCACGCTGTTTACATCTCAAAAGTGGACGCTTGTTTATTGAAATGTTCATCAGTCGGGCCAAATACAGGCAGGGTTCTCTGCACTGGGTCCACCCCTCAGTTTTCATTCTGACCTCAGAAAGGCCCCTTTTGCAGAGTTTCAGCCAAGTTACTGGAATCTTTCCCAGGCATAAAGTCTGAACTTCCTTCAGTTTCCCTATCGAATTAAAAATGGTTTCAAATGGATTCACGTTTGAAAACCTCTATCCATAGTATTCCATTAACCTTTATTTGCTTTATTTCCATTATTTGCTTTCACTTACATATTCTTCAGAATTAAATGTATTAGTCTCGATATGTGTTCATAAGTTCATAAGATCTTCAACTGTGCTGATGAATAACTAGCTATGGAAAATGATAAATGATGAATGATCATTTTTATTAACCGACCAGTCAGAAAACAGAAAAAGACTAAGTTGCTCACCTTTCAGCAGCAGTGTCACCATAGCCGTCGGCAATTAACTCCTGTTGTTCAGTCATGTCCAAGTGCTGACAGACTTGCCTCATAACTACTGAAATGTATTGCTTCTGTAATTGTTGAAATTGAAGCCTTTTGCAGTATTTGTGTGACAACATGCAAGTTTGGTTGATTAAATGGAAAACCGTGTGTTGCTAAAAAGAGCTTGATAGCTAAAAGACCGTTTCTCTGTTGGCCTCCAGCAGCGAGGTGAACTGAAGCAGGGCCTTACTTTAATTCGTGGTGTAGGATATTTTTAAAAAAACCAAGGTATCCGTAAATCACTCGCAAGTTCTCGTTCACATTTTGGAACAAAGTTGTACTTGTAGCTCACAGGGAAGGAAGGTCACCGTCCAAAACCACTGGACTGCTGTCCAGGTAAGATATTAATGAGCTGCCTTAATGGTCCTGTAACTTTGGCTGGACATTTCTTCGCTTGGGATCTTTGTATGTTACCAGCCACAGGACCAAGTCAATTATCAAGTTTGCTGACGACACCACCTTAATGGGCCTGTTCCCGGCAAGATGGCCAACAGGGAGACGGTGAAGCAAGAGGAAAATGTTAGCGAGACTATGGAGCTGGCCATTGACTCCAGGGAGCAGGTCCCAGTCCCGTCTACATCGGCAGGGAAGCTGAGGAGAGAATCAGCAGCCGTAAATTCACTGGAGTCCCCCTGACCCTGAGTGGTCACCACCCCCAGCCACCAGCACCTTTATTTTCTCAGGCGTCTGAGGACGGTCCCCGCACTCTGCAGACCAGGACATTTACACCATATGCTACCTCGGAAAAGCAGATCACATCTTGAAGAACTCCAGCCATCCTGCACAGGCATTTCCCTCCCTCCTCCC